CCCGGGGCTGCCTGCGTCGCCATGGCAATGCGCGATCCCACGGGAATTAATGAGTCTGGAGCGCACGGTGAATCCTTTGGGGTGGCTTGACCAGGTGGAGCAGGGGGATGGAGTAGGGCAGCGGCAGAGCTGGGGGTGTGGGCAGCCCCCTTGCCTGAGCCCTGCCCATCCCTGCCTCCAGCCCCGCTGGTTTGCTCCATCCCAGGCAGGGTGTCTCCATTGCCCCGTCCGGGATGTGCGCTGTAGGATGGAGGGATTGTAAGTTTGGGATTTGGGAAACACTCTTGATCAGGTGGTGCAGGGACAGGACGAGGGGGAACGGTTTGAAGCTGCAAGAGGGGAGATGGAGATGAGATGTGAGGAAGAAATGTTTTCCTGTGCGGGGGGTGAGGCAGTGGCCCAGGGTGCCCAGAGAAGCTGTGGATGCCCCATCCCTGGAGGGGGTCAAGGCCAGGCTGGATGAGGCTTTGGGCACCCTGGGCTAGTGGGAGGTGTCCCTGCCCATGGCAGGGGGGGGCACTGAATGGTCTCTAAGGTCCCTTCCCACCCAAACCATCCTGGGATTCTACTATTCTGTGATTTTTTGGAGGGAGGGTATCTCCCCACTCCTGGGTACCAAGGGGGGTCTGTAGAGCCCAGCTCACCCAGTTTTGGGAAACCTCCTGCCCCACTCCCATGTTGGCCAGGAGCATCACTTCCATCAAGAGCTCCATCAACTCTGGCGAAACCCGCAGCTGTGGGGCAAACAGCCGCGCTTTGAACCATCATGGATACAGCAGGAGCTCAGGTCCCCAGGAGGGCTCAGGGCGACTTGCCAGCCCAGGGGAGCCCCAAAAAGCCACCTCACCTGCCTGGTGCCACCCCATCCCATGCAGGGCAGAGCATCACTGGGCTCCTTTGTGCTTCTCCATCCCTTCTGTGTGCAGCAGGAGGTGGGGACTTTTGTTTGTGTTTTTGGTTTGGTTTTTTTTCTCCTCCATCTCCCCGGCGGTAAAAAGCGGAGCGTGCTGGGAGATGAGGTGTTAGCAACAATTTACGTCGGGAGGTTTGCTATTTTTCATGCTAACCCTGGCTCGGGGATATTTATTGTCTAGTGGGGCAGGATCTGGCACTAATCCATTGAAGAATTGGGCTAAAAAATGACAGTGGAGATGGATGATCCCGAGGAGGAGGAGGAGATGGTGTTTGAAGAGCTGAGCCTGGTCCCGGCTACCTGGACCCAGAGGTTCATTATATTCCCCGAGCGATGATTAAACACTTGACGAGCGTATGCGTCCCAACGCAGGTTTCGGGGAGCGCCCGCTCCCAGCCCGGCTCCTCGCAGCGTTTCCTACGTTGGCAGCGGAGAATCGATAGAAAGCCAGAATAATTGCTGTTTGGTAAATGTTAATGATTATTTTACTTGCATAAAATAACTGGCCTATTAAATCAAAATGCACTGGGGTTTAGGCAGCTGGTATTCAGGGGCTTAATTATTCTGGGAAAGAATGAAGTTACACAAAATAACTGGCTGCTGCTCGCCCGAGCTCACACCACGTTTTGCAAGTGGGATTTCTCCCGGCCGTGATCATTAGCCCCCCCAGCTTCCACCAGCATCCTGCACCCCCAGACTCCGGCTGTGCCCTGACACTGCCTTCTAGCCCAGCCTCCCCGCCTTGCCATGGGCATCTTCAGCTCAAGCAGCTTTGGTGGTCTCCAGAATCCATCCTCAGGCAAAATCTCGGCCGGGGCTGACCGTGCTGGGACATCGAGGTCTTTTCCCAAAGCAGCAGGTCCTGTCTGGAGCAGCTTTCCAGCAGATTTATTTTTAACCCACAGCCTTGGATCGTAGAGTGGAAATTCAGTGGGTTTGGTGGTGGGGTGTTTTTTGTTTTGGTTTTTTTTTTTTTTTTCTTGTAGTGGGAAAAGAATTGTGGAGTCTTTAAGGTTCAGAAAGAATGTTTTCATTCCAACCTTATGTGCGAGTTAGTATTATTTCAACTTTTTATAGTGTCACTAAATCACGTGTTGGGGTGAGTTATTAAGGTTTTCTGTATAAAACACAAAAAAGACGCTTACAAGTGATGATTAATTGAAAATATCCCACGGAAAATACCATAGAAATAATCGCCGCTTTTCCTGTGATCTGTTCTCAGTTTAAATGTGTTTTCTGGGAGAAAATGGCTTTCAGCCCTGATGGATTGCTGACCCTGGCTGCGTCCTTCCGAGCTTTCCAATGCGGCTGGATCCAGCATCTCCCTCAGAGGACACACCCCGGGTCACTGTCACTCTTGCTTCCATCGCTCCATCCTCGTCTCCTGCCCACCTTGCCCTCGCAGCTCTGGGGTTCGGGCTTCCCAAAGCTGTCTTGTTGGGTTGAAATGTAACCAGCCCTTTGGGACTTTGGGCTTTCTATTTTTTGCTGTTCATTTTGCAATGAAAAATAGGCAGAGGATGAGATGCAGAGACAAGAACTGTGCTTGGCACTAAGGGATGGAGAGGAATGGGATGCCAAGCTGGTCCTCGTGCTCACCACCACCGCTCTAGCCCATTCTCCAGGCTGCTTTCACACCGATTCAATCTTCCTTTCCCTCTTTGCTTGCCCACCCGTGGGGACGTGGAGCAGGCTGGTCCCCTGCATCCCTGCTGATGCTCTCCACGTGCATCCCTTCCCCTGCCTCGGCCCCGTCTCGTGCCCCAGGGTTGTGCTGGAGGCTACTGGGTGGCCGTGGGCATCTGTATCACTGGATAAAATTGCCTCCAGCCCCAGCATGCCACGCCACCCCTCCCTGCAGCAGGAGCCTCCCCCCCCGAGCCATATGTGTGGCACCGGGGCGTGCGGCCAGGCTCGGTTGGAGGAGATGTGGGCTCCCCAGGCTGTGATGTTTTTTGGGGGTTTCCTTCACCCTGGAGTTACCCAGCTCCACTCGCCGTGCATGCTGCCAACGAGCCTCACACATGTGCCAGGGAGAGGATGTGACTGCCCAGCTTTGTGCCCCATCACCACCAGTATGAGCTCCAGGCAGGACCCAAGCCTGTGTCCTGGCTGCCTTAGAAACCACCAAATTTTGTCTCTTTTTAATTTCCTTTCTGATTCCCTTAGGGAAAACTCTTCAGCTTCTGTCCACATCCAGGAGGGCTACAAACACCGAC